GGCTGTTATTTGCAGGAGGGACCTGAGTACATGTACTTACGGACTCTTCTGGATGGATGCTTGTTGTGTGATTACCTGTGATAATAGGAATTAGACTCAGTAAGTCAGGAGGTTCCTATGGTTCTAAGTTTGTCTTTGCAATATTGTATTGTTGTTTGTGTATTGCAATATCTCAGGGCAGAAAAAGCACCAGTTTTCAAGAGCCTATACACCTGAGCTCACTGGTGGTGCAAAAGATGACTGCATCTTGGGCCAAAATACATTCACTTTGTCGGAAAGAAAAAGAATCCAAATATATTAGGTCAGGGGTTGGTGACCTATGGCCCATATGCTGGATCTAGCCAGTCAAACCACTGGATCTGGCCCATGTATCTAGGGCTTCAGTGGCACTCAGTGGCAGGGGACTTTGGTTGTGAGCACTGCCCCCATGCCACCTCAGGGAGAAGCAGCAGCTGCAGGTGCTCTCCCTCTGCTTTTGTGGTGACAAGCGGCAGTGGTGGAAAGTCTGTCGCTGAAAAAAGTTGCCTTTCCCTGCACTAGATTCTATTTAAAAAATTCATTGTTCAGTGTTTATAGCACTATTTGCAGTCTTTTCTATACCTAATACTGTGTGTATATGTACAATACTATACGTAATTATGTGAGGAAAACAGCTTTTTCACAATGATGCTTACTGCAGACAATTAAAGTCCATATTTCCTTCTTAGACTGTGACTGTCATATGCTAACAGATCACTGCAAGGAGCTGCTGTTTAATTAAAATGCATGTGAAGGACCTGAACTAGCACATTTGTAGGCTTGTTTTTAGAAAGGTGTGTTACTATTAACAGCTAAATATACAGCTGGTCTAAATATACTGAACATCTTATCTATCTTATTTGCTATAAGAACATTTAATATGTTATTAATATACAGTAACATTTTTAAACAGTTTTGCACAGTAGTATTTTGGAAGATAACTTATTAGTCTTCTCTACATCTGCTGTAATCTTGTAGTCAATCATAATAATAAAAAAAATTTCCATTTGCTTAAAGACAAATATGCCAGATAAGTTTTACAATGGGTCTGGATTTTTTGGAGCTACTGGGTGCATCTACACATGCAATTTATTCAAAGCAATAAACTCCAGAGTAGGTTGAGCCAGAATAAACTATTCCTGGGTGCAGCACCTAAATGTGTGATGGAGCGGAGCACTTTATGCCAAGGCTAGGGGAATGGGGGGAGAGGGAAGGGGCTCAGCCCCAGGTTCCAGGTGGTGGCACTGAGCAGCAGAGGGGCTTGCTGGGGCATGAGGGTGCTGAAAGTGCGAAGCTGTCTGGCTAGGTGGCAGGCAAGAAGCTGGCCCCCTGCTGACTGCGTACAACTTACACCCACAATCAGTATCTACACAAGTTAAATCGCAGTTAATTACCCCACCATAAGATAGTACTGTCCCTGACAGTATGATCTTACAGTGGCATTAATTAATTTACTTCAGCCTAATAGCTTTGCCCATGTAGACAGTGGCACTTTACTCCGCAGCTAATTAGTCTACTCCACAGTTAAGTGCATCTGTAGACAGGGCCACTGAGTAACTGTATCTATGATGGGCATCAGCCAGAGTTGTGGGTACTCAGAATTTTTGCAAATATTTTTTCAGCTACATCTTCAGAAGTGAATCTGTGAGGGATCTGGCTAGATGAGTACTATAGATATCACTTTCTGATAATGGAAAAGAAGCACTTTTTTACCCTTTATAAGGGAGGAGGGGATAGTTTTAACATCAGCATGGGCAGCTTCTATAAAGCATTTTGCCACAAAATGATATTCAACCAAATAAGATAGCATTAAATTACAATGAGATGGCTTTCTAACACAGGGTAAGAACTTTTTCAGGGTAGTCAATTCATGCTCGCTTCCCTGCCTCCGTCCATTCTCTTGTCCTGTAATCTGCCAAAAGGAAGTCTGGTGGGGCAGTAATTGCATAAGGAATTCTGGGCTTTTATCTCAACTGAACCACTGATTGACTTGCCAGTGGTTCAAGCCCCAATTGCACTGGCAGGAATATGACCTTGGGCAAGCCATGGAGCCTTGCTGTGCTTCAATCAACTCAACTGAAAAACTGAGTTAAAAAAAGAAATCCAATATTGCACCAAAACTGTCTTTCTAGATAGAGAATTAAATGCCTCTTCATCTACATCCTCACCTGTTTGGTGTCATTGAACATACTCCTGCCTAAAATGGGCCACAAAAATGCTGTAACTTGATAAGCCAAGAGGAGTAATAGTCTTTGTTTAAAAAACTTGCATAGCTCACTACTGGGAAACCCCACAGAAAACATGTTATTTAACACCTGTTACAGCAGTTTTTATAAGGAACCATATTCACAGTGTGCACATAGTCAAAGAAATGCACGTGTAGAGGCTGCTTGACTCTACCTGTTGTTCAATGAAATACAACCCACTATGGCAAAAAGCAGACAAGGATTTTGATCATCCACTGGTATCCCACATGACAGAGAAAACAGTGGAACTCAAACATGAGTTTAGGATGAGAATGCTACAGAACAGACCTCAGTCAGGGTTTGAGCCACAAACAAAATCTCTCCAGAAGGAAAACCTATTTATACCTAACATTATGAATTCCCCTCCACCCCCAAAACAACTCATCCCTGAATAAATCTTATCCTTGTTCCACCAAGGTCAGTGATATTTTGGCTCATCTTCCTTATAAAAGCCATTTGGTTATGTTAACGGTTCAGTGACATGAATAACTAGCCCTCAACCACCCTCCTCTAACTCTTTTTAGATGGCCCACCATCAATTCATAGAAATGATGCTTTACCACTATGTTGAGTAATACCATTTTAAAGTAAACAATGTATTTTGTGAAGCAAGAGTTTGTTAAACATATTTTCAATAAGATTAATGTGATTATGACAAGTACTTCAGAAAGAAAAATCCTGAATTTCTCATACACAGTTTTAGTTTGCATCAGCACATTTGCCTGCATAACTAAGTTTAAATAAAAACAAACCCTGTCACTACTTCTCTTTTTAAATGAATGAGGAAAATACCTTTAAATCCATCTTAAAATCCTGAAAGATCAAATTAAGAACACAGTTCAAATCACCTGAGGTTAGTAATAAGACTTTAGTAGGGCTGGGGTTGGGCCATATATATGAATAATACTCTATTAAATAACCCATGTTTAAGAAGTCCTTTTGACTCAGCATCCTTAGATGACTGTGTTTTAATTTTAGAGCTCTAATCTAAAATTTAACTGTTCTATTACCTGGTAGGAAGGTAAGATTACTATGTAACTGAATATTCATGCTATACCATAAAAATTAGATGTAAAGGTATTATTATCAAAAATGTTGCACCATGTAGCATTCTTTGTTAAAGTGACACTCCTACACAAAATGAGAAGCGTACCACATACTGTAAATATGTTAGCTAACAAGTCAGACGGGTAAATTACATGAACAAATAAATTCAGTTTCCTTGAAGGTCTCTTTAATCTATACAATGTGATGTTGCACAAAACTGTGTGTTCCCATACAAACAAACACGCGCTATTGTACTGCATTTTTTTAAAAAAAGAAAGCGCTTTTCTTGCAAATTTTGTGCAGCTGCTGCAATGCCATAGGGATATTTGGCCTTAATTGTGGAATTGTTATTGAAAAATAATGTAAGGGGTTTTTTAAAATATTAATAACACTTCCTCCTTGCAGAAAGTATATGTTTATTTTCCTTTATGTATCAGAAGGTTTTAAGAATTAGTCTATATGGTTACATTTACTGCTTCCAATTGTTTATGATTGCTTTGAAATATATAGAAAGAGATGAAATCTCAGATGATTTTCCTTTCACTAATAACCCCTGCCTTCAGAAATCAAATGGCAGAAATGCACATTCCTCTCTTTCAGTCAAGATTGCCCCTTTGGGAGAAAGTCTAGCACTTCATGTTAGAGGCATCCTTTGTTCCCTTTACTTGGGGTATCTGCACAGTTGGACATCAGAGAGAAATCCTCTGTTTCCATTTCATTTTTTTTTATCTAGTTCCAGTTCAACAAAGGTGCTTAGAATTGTTTGATAAGGGAAATGAATCAAACTTAAAATTGTCATAATTATTAACAGTTACGTTCTGCCTCAAAGGAAAGGAATGTTGGCAAGCAGACCCATCAAAGAGGGCTGGGAGCTTGTATTTAATCACTAATCTGCAAGCAGACAGGGACAAAGCTATGGCCCAAAACATATTTATTGCAATGGGCTTCTCCCCCCTGGCTTCACCAGGCTTTTGGGTCCGGCCCTACCTGAGTTCTGCATTTAAAAATCAGTACACTAGGCAGCTAGGCTCAACATATCTTGTATTGTCCCACACTGTTAGCCGCATCGGTTTATCATGGGTGGTATCGGTAACTCTCATAAAGAAACCGTACAACTCATACATGATGTACTGTTTATATAAACCCCGAAGTCAGCTGGATCTTGGCCTTTGCTTCCAGCTGCTTGCCATTAGGCCTCTCCTTGTAATCACATCACATTAAACCTATCTGGACTTCTTGAGTTGACTAAGAAGTCTTAGCCCTGCAAAGCCAATGTTGTTTTTCTTTTGTTGTTATTTTCCCCCTCCCCCCAAAGTGCCCAACATTACTCTGATATTAAATTCTGGAGTAACTGAATTATTCTTCAAAGCTGAAACAACTCTCAACGAGCTGGTCTTCAGGGAGGGGGGCCCTTGAATTTATAAACAACCTATTGCAATGAGCCATCCGCACCTTCCCCCCCACCTCCCTCCATAAAAAGATTAGACTCCTCTGTATGCAGTGAAAATTACCTTCTTGTAGGGGGGGGAAAGCATTTAATTATGACTCCGCTCCCTCCTGTCTCCATGGTGATGCCAGGCAAACAGCCTGCTCCTTTCTAGTGTAGGAGAGCGTCCCCCAGCCCTGCCCAGGGGATGAAGGGATGCCCCCCAGAGCCCGGGGGAGCCCGGGGAGGGGGAGGGCTGGTACCTGGATGCTCTCCGCCGCCGGAGCCCGCAGGGTCCGTCAGGATGCTGGGGTCACTCTGCGACCTGGCCCGGGGGAGGAAGCAGCCGGGCCCTTCCTCCGCTGCAGCCATGGGGCTGGGGCTGGGGCAGGGGCCGGACGGCAGTCACGCCGGAGGAGCGGGGGCCGCGGGCGGGCGCGGCAGCCCCGGCGGCTG